CCACGGGGCCGAAAGAGGAGGCTAGGGGAGGCAGAGGAGATGGCCGACCCTGAGCTGATGGCATCTACCTTGGAGACATGCAAGGGCCTCCTGAGGTCCATCTTGACCTACTGGGGACCAGTGATCCCTGTTCCTGACCCCACTCAGGAGCCTGTGGACTCAGCCAGCCCCGAGAGCAATGCACCAGGCCCCGTGTATGCCGCCGCTTCCCTGGCAGTCAGTTGGGTGCTGCGGTCGGTGGCCGAGCACCCGCTCAGCAGGGCAGAGGCTGCAGGACTGGTTGGCTGGCTTAAGAGCCACATTTTGCCACACCCTGTGGTCGTGGCTGACCTCCTTAAGGACGGTGCCGTGAGGAGCAGCATATTCAAGCTGTATAGCCGGCTCTGTGGGGCCGAGGGGCTGGCGGGGCCTGCGCAGGAGGTGGCCTGCCTGTTCAATCTGGTCATGCTGCAGCTGGTGGCCGCCCAGGGCCAGGCAGGGAGCCCCTTCCACCCAGCCATGGAAGCTCTCTGCCTGTCTTCTCTGAGTGAGAAGGACGAAGCCACACGAGGTAAGGCTGGTTTTTTCGTTGGAGGCTGAAGAAATGGATGCAGAAGTGGGGCTGGGGCAGGAGTGACTTCTGTGCTTGGAACGCTTAGGTTTCTGCCAACTTCCTCAGCTGGCTATTGTGCCTGTTTAGGTGGCCTCTTACGGTTCTGGGGTTGTAGAGAACTTGCCACTGGGCACTGAATGTGAAGGGGAGGAAGTTTGTCTTCGCTTGCAGGGGAAACCTTTGGTGCTGGTTGTGTTGACGGTGCAGAGAGGGCACCGCAGAACCTTGGCATCCCTCCACCCCGCAGGGCAGTCGGTTTCCGACCATTAGCCACGTGACGAGTTCTGTTTCACACGTGGCCAGCTGCGTGTGTGCGTGTGTGTGCACATATAGCTTCACACGCGTACAAATGTGTCCATGTGCAATCTGTGTACTTGGCAGTCACTAGGTAGGAGCCTAGCAGTGTGAATGAGTGAGTAGCACAGGCTCCAGGGGGCCGTTAGAGCTCCAGGGAGGTGGGTGTGGTAACCCAGAGGGCTGTCCTTTCACGGAGGAATGTGGGGGCGCAGGGGAGGGGGGGGCCAGCAGCCTAGTGGGTGGACTCACCTGGTAGCAGGGGCGACCTCGCCTTCTGGTCTGGCCACAGTTGGGGAGTTGGGCCTTTTTGCCTGCAAAGCTTTCGCTTCCTCCTTACCCGTGCCACTGAGGAAATGGTAGGAAATGATTCTGGGAGGTTCTTCTCAAACTTCAGTCTCATTCTTGGCATGGACGGTCAGAACCAGACTGAGACTTGTCTTGTAACAGCTTTTTGAGGGGATCCACACATATTCGTCAGAAGAAAGAAATTTTTGCCAGGCACAGTGGCTCACACCTATAATCCTAGCACTTTGGGAGGCTGAGGTGGGGAGACCGCTTGAGACCAGCCTGGCCAACATAGTGAAACTCTGTCTCTACAAAAATTAGCTGGGCGTGGTGGCACATGCCTGTAGTCCCAGCTACTCTGGAGGCTGAGGTGGGAGGATCACCTGAGCCCAGGCAGTCGAGGTTGCAGTGAGCTGAGATCATGCTACTGCATTCCAGTCTGGGTCACAGAATGAGACCCTGTCTTTTTCTTAAAAAAAAAAAGAAAGAAAAAAACTTTTTAGTAAAAAAGATTAACACAAAAGTTAAGCAAAGGCAGAATGAGTTGTTGTATCGGTCTGCTCACCTTGGGTTGCACAGGCCTGTCGCACGGTTTATTTGGGCACTTGGCAAAGCCATTGCGTTGTGGGCAGGATGACCTGTTTTCGAGCTGAGCAGGTGTGCATCCTGACGGCCTATCCCCTGCTCTTGTTCAGCCTCCGCAGCATTCCTGGTGTCTCTCTACATAAAGGACATCTGGCTGGGGGCCCAGCGGCCTGACACCCTCTTAACCCACATCCGGATGGTGTGTGAGGCCGCAGATGATGCTCCGAGCAGTGAAGAGGAGGCCATCGTGGTGTTCTGCAAGGATGTCGCCAGTGCAGCCTCAGATGCTTGACTCCTACCGGCCAGCGCCTTGCGCCCTGATGACCAGAGCCTCAAGCACAGCACCGGCTTCTAGAAGTTTGGTTGAGTCAAGGGTTTCCGGAGAAGGCGTGGGAAACAACAAGTTCAGTACATTGACTCAGTTCTCTGACAAGAAAAGTCGAGAGGACTTGATTGAACAGGCCAGTAAATGATAAACTCGGGCCTGTGTGTGCCCCGCATCAGAGTTACAGGGAATGTGGGGACTTCCAGGCCATGAGGCCCATCCATTGCCTCGTCAGGCCAGGCCAGCCCCTTCCTCTCTAGGGGCTTGGAACTGGTCACAGGAAATAGCCCAAGTTTGAGGCACTTCTGAATGCAGAAGAGATTCATGTGTGTTAAAGCTGAAATGTCAAAAGGTATCAGGTTTTTTTTTATAAAAACGAAGAGATATGTTTAAATTTTATTTTTCAGCTGGGTGAGGTGGCTCATGCCTCTAATCCCAGCACTTTGGGAGGCCAAGGCAGGTGGATAACCTGAGGTCAGGAGTTCAAGACCAGCCTTCCCAACATGGTGAAACCCCATCTCTACTAAAAATACAAAAATTAGCTGGACGCGGTGGTGCACGCCTGAAATTCCAGCTACTCGGGAGGCTGAGGCAGGGGAATCGCTTGAAACTGGGAGGTGGAGGCTGCAGTGAGCCGAGATTGTGCCACTGTGCTCCAACCTAGGCGACAGAGCAAGACTCCATCTCAAAAAAATAAATAAAATAAAGTTTATTTTTCTATAAAAAGTCATAACAAAGTTTAGTATGACTTTTTGAATAAGTTAATTTCTGCCAATGTTTGTTAATTATTTTATTAAATAAAAGATGTTGCACTGAATCCTTAAAGTGTAAAAGTGATTTGACCTCTGCTTTGAGAAGACAGCCTGTAATTTTTAAAGTTATATTTCAAAGAGGGGATTTTGAATTTTATAAATGCTTGTTAATAAATGTCTATTTTTGTAAGGTTTTTGTGTTTTCCTTTCATTGTTAAAGAGGCTATTTTTGTTCCACGTAGGTCTGCGTTTATTTTAAAGGTCAGAACTTTACTATTAATGGTCATATATTCGTTGGTGGTGTAGCTGACAGTCATGAAATTTCGTGGTTTTCGCAGTTAAAATTTCTGTCTGTTCCTTTAAAACTCTCCTGCATTCTTGGGGTCTGTTCTGTGGCCTAGGACGTGTCTGTTTTATTTGCCATATAACGTACATCACGCTGACAATGCCTTGGTTTTGTCTGAAACATTTACACTTTTATTTTCTTTTTCTTTTCTATTTTTTTTGAGACGGAGTCTCGCTCTGTCACCCAGGCTGGAGTGCAGTGGCCGGATCTCAGCTCACTGCAAGCTCCGCCTCCCGGGTTTACACCATTCTCCTGCCTCAGCCTCCCGAGTAGCTGGGACTACAGGCACCCGCCACCGCACCCGGCTAGTTTTTTGGGGTTTTTTTTGTTTTTGTTTTTTTTGTATTTTTTAGTAGAGACGGGGTTTCACCGTGCTAGCCAGGATGGTCTTGATCTCCTGACCTCATGATCCACCCGTCTTGGCCTCCCAAAGTGCTAGGATTACAGGCTTGAGCCACCGTGCCTGGCCCCTATTTTCTACCAGTGTTCTTTAGAATTGTTTGTTTTAGGTGACTTAAAGTTTTAACTAAAGCATGAGTAACACTTGTTGGCATACAGTCCCTTCACCACAAATAATTGTCTTGCATTGTCTACAAAGCAAGGATCAGTTACCTCACTTGTCCCCCTTTCCTACCCAAATAAACCTTACAACGCTGTTATTTGAGACTGTCCTGAAGTTGAAATCCGATGTTTAGATCCAAGTTGGACTCAGGCAAGCACTGCGCCAGCAGAACATTCTCTTCCTGGTTCCCTTTAATCTTTATCCCCCTCTCCGAGGCCTGTCGATGGGGATTCCTTTGGTTATAGGCACCTCTGCTCGTTCATGCAGAGGGCATTGGCTGGAAGGACACTGGTCTGGGGAATATCCCTGAACCCCATGCCTCTGGGGGCGCGGGGAGGGGCATCGAGCAGGTAGGATGGATTTCCACAGCTTCATCCCCGGCTCCAGGCCTAGCTGCCTCCCAGGTTCTTAGGGCCCAGCAAGTCAAATACATGCTACGTCAGGTGGCGACAAGTGCTCCAAAGCCAAGTTCAGCTCAGTCAAGTGAGGACACATTTTCAGCACCTCACCTTCTTTTCTGCATCACTGGAGCTCATCAGTCCTGCTTGTCTTTGTTCTCCCTTCTCAATCCACTGTCCTGACCTTGTCCATGTATTTTCCAGTCACTTAGCGTGGAGGAAGGGAATCTCATCCCATGGAGAATAGATGGTACATGATCTTCACCTGACTTAAAATATAAAATGCTAAATTCGAAATAAGTGGGGCGGGGGGCAGTTATTTGAAAAATAAAACCTACCAGCTTGCTGCCGGAAAGCTGGAGGGGACACATGGCTCTTCTGGGATTTGCAGTGTGAGGCTGTCTCCTCTCCAGGAACAAGGCTGCTGGGCACTAGAGGACTGGATCCTTCGAGGGTCCCAGATCCACTGTCACATAAAGTCACATCCAGAAGGAGACCTTTCCTGCCAGCGTCCAGGGCTCTTTGTGTTCTGTGGCAGCATTTGAGCATAGGCCCTGCTTACCGGGCCTGGCTGCTGACAGGCGTTGGCTGCCTGCCCTCCAGGGGAGAGACTTCCTTGGGCTCTGTCTTTGAAAGGCTGTGGGCAGGTTGAAGGTGAGACTCGGGCCCCCTGACTGCAGCGAGCTGACCTGGCAGGGCAGATGCCATCACATCTGGGGGAGCTGGAGGGTGTCAGTGGAGCTTGGATGGGAACTTACCCAGCATCCTAACAAAGGTACAGAAGGACCAGGTGAACTCAGGGCTGATAACACATTACACAGTAATGGTAAAGTGGCATAGTAAGCAAACAGGTTTTCCTCTGGATTTACATATATTTTATTTTCCTACTCTTCCCTAAGCAAACAAGCCATAAGCAAGCGGGCTAAGTGTGCTCAATAAAATCAGCAACAGCTGGGATGACCTCTGCCCTCGAGGGACCACTGCAATCTTTGTCAAAGGCATAGGATGCTCCTGCTCTAGTCGCACTTGACCTAGGTGCCCTTTCCGCTACATGCAGACAGCCTCTAAGAAGAACAAAGAACGGAGGTGTCCAGGTTGGCTTGATTTCACCAGTTCACTCAGCTATGGCCACGATCTGCTGACATCAGCTCTGCAATTGAGAGATCCTGTCTCCAGGGGGAGGCTCGCTGGGCTTGCTTCTGACGAGGGGACCCCCATTGAGGGTCAGTTCCCAGAGGAGAGTGGGGTGGGTCTGGAAAACCCCAAGGGGCAAGGTGGAGGAGCTCTCCTGTCGTAGCAGCTGGTCAGGGTCAGTTCTGCTCCCTGGCTCCACTGAACTCGCCTGAGCCCGTGAGGTCCCCAGGGGTTCCCTGTGGCACGGCAGGCACTTCTGGATGCAGAGCTGGAGGCTGAGGCTGTGACTCCAGGGGCATGTTTGGTGGTGCTTGGGGCTGTTCCTGTGAACAGAGCGGAGTGGGAGGCAAGCATCAAAGTTGCAGAACAGTCCGTACTGTGGGGCTTGGGGGTTTCCTGCCACACCTGCCATCTGCCCAGACCCCATAGGGAAGGCCACACAGGCAAATTCCTGAGAAGGGTCAGCCAGCTCACCAAGGTGGCCATTGTAGAGAGATCTCAAAAGAGAGGAGGTGCTTTGTCAGGAACTAGGCCTCAGGTCTTTTCCTGGAGGCCACTTCTTCCTGTATTGATTTAGGATAGAGGGGATGGGGGCGTTGGAGGAGCAGGTTGACCTCCCATCCAGCCCTGTATCTGAGTGTACCTCATTTTATATCCGTAGCTCAAGCCAGCTTGTATCTTGGTGATATGGTTTGGCTGTGTCACCACACAGCTCTCACCGTGAATTGTAATAATCCCTACGGGTGGTGGGAAGGACCCAGTGGGAGGTAATTGAATCACGGGGGCGGGTCTTCCCATGCTGTTCTCGTGATAGTGAATAAGTCTCACGAGATCTGATGGTTTTGTAAAGGGGAGTTTCCCTGCACATGCCCTTTTGCCTGTGCCATGTAAGATGTGGCTTTGCTCTTCCTTTGCCTTCTGCCATGATTGTGAGGCCTTCCCAGCCATGTGGAACTGTGAGTCCATTAAACCTCTTTCCTTTATAAATTACCCAGCCTCGGATATGTCTTTATTAGCAGCATGAGAACAAACTAATACACTTGGCTAGAAATGCGTCCTCCCTGTGCCAGGCATGGTGGCTCACACCTGTCATCCTAGCACTTGGGGAGGCAGAGGCAGGCAGATCACGAGGTCAGGAGATTGAGACCATCCTGGAGAACATGGTGAAACCCCGTCTCTACTAAAAATACAAAAATTAGCTGGGCATGGTGGCGCGTGCCTGTAATCCGGCTACTCGGAAGGCTGAGGCAGGAGAATCACTTGAACCAAGGTGTCAGAGGTTGCAGTGAGCCGAGATTGCGCCACTGCACCCCAGCCTGGCAATAGAGCGAGACTCTGTCTCAAAAAAAAGAAAAGAAGAGAAGAGGAAAAGAGAAGAAAGAAAAGCGTCCTCCCTGGGTGGATTCTCCTGCCCAGAAAGTGCTGGGGCAGTGAACATGGCCATCTGGAGTGAGCTCTGGCCACCACTTCCCAGCTGCCTTTGACGTCATCCGTAAAATGGGACAGTATTGGCTCACAGATAACCTCAGGATGAAATGAGGTGACGTATAAAACGACTTTATATGTGGTTACAATGCTGGCACGAATGAAGAGTACCAGGTGATGAGCCCACTGGGCAGAGGCTGTCCTTTCAGATGGCACTCACCCAAGAATGCCCTCCCTCCTCCCCTTCCTCATGGGAAGGTCAGCTCCTCATGGAGTGACTCCTAAATCTTGCTAAGGATCCACTTTGCTGCCCTGAGCATTCCAGGAATGTTACCAAGTGCCTTTAGAGCATTTTCTTTAGTAAGCCCTGTAGCTGGTCAGGACGTACAGTGTCATCAGTTTGCCCCTGTGAAATAGCCCAGAAGGCCTGTGCCCCCCAGGGAGCTGGGCATGGTGGAGGCAGCCCCTGGGCTTGCCGGACCAGGCCAGGGAGCTTTGTACCAGGAGGATTACTGACGATCCTTGCACACTCCCTGGCCCAGGGTGGCTGCAGGTCATCTCAGAAGAGTAGAAAAGAAAGGTGACATCACTCGTTTATCCTTCAGATGTGTCTCGGGTGTAAAAATGTGCTTAAATTGAATGTGAGTTCTAAAAACTGAAAGAGAAGAACAGATTTCAGGCTGTGCACGGTGGCTGGTGACCTCAGTGGCGCCATCTCAGCTCACTGCAATCTCTGCCTCCCAGGTTCAAGCGATTCTCTTGTCTCAGCCTCCTGTGTAGCTGGGATCATAGGCACCAGCCACGATGCCCAGCTAATTTTTGTATTTTTAATAGAAACCAGGTTTCGCCAAGTTGGCCAGGCCATTCTCGAACTCCTGACCTCAGGTGATCCACGCACCTCGGCCTCCCAAAGTGCTAGGATTACAGGTTTGGAGTTTGAGACTGGCCTGGCCAACTTGGCGAAACCCCATCTCTACTAAAAGTACAAAAATCGACTGGGCGTCTTGGTGGGTGCCTGTAATCCCAGCTACTCAGGAGGCTAAGGCAAGAGAATAGCTTGAATGTGGGAGGCAGAGGTTGCAGAGAGCCAAGATCACGCCACTGCACTCCAGCCTGGGTGACAGAGCGAGACTTTGGTCTCAAAAAAAAAAAAAGAATGAATTTCTTCATTGCTATAAAGCTACCTTCCATATGTGACCAAGGTGAGCAGAAATGGCCTGGCGAGGGTAGCCCTGGTGGGTGAGACACTGCGGGCAGGGCAGGCGGGGCGGGGAGGAGAATCAGAGGCCCCTTCGAGGTAACGCTGGGCTGTGGTGTGATGTGTCACCACCAAAACTCATGTGGAGGCCTGGTCCCCAGTGTGGCAACACTGGGAGGTGGGGCCTTTAAGGGGTAATGAGTTTTTTTCTCTAGACTGAATTAGATCTTTTTGCAAAACGAGGCCCTCACCAGAAGCTGAGCAGATGTCAATGCCATGCTTCCTAGACTTCTAAGCCTTCAGAACCATGAGCTAAATAAGCCTCTTTTCTTCATAAATTACTCAACCTCAGGTATTCTGTTACAGCAACAGAAAACACTAAGATGCTGTGCGAATGCACGAGTCCACGGCTCCTCGTGGGACCTGGTGTGGGAGACTTTGGCTCAGGGGGTCCAAGGCCACTCAGCTCTTCCTCAGCACAGTTCAGCTCATCTCTCTGCTGACCAGCTTCCTACACTGAGGGTTTCCAGTCCCTAAGACTTCCATCTGTAATGGACGTAACAGTCCATAATGGCACCCAGCCCTGGCCCTCCTCCTGGACCAATCAGTGCAGCCCCATAGACACCAGATCCATCTCTCAGAGGCTAGATTCCAAATTCCAAAGACAAGAATCTGACCAGTCCCAGCTCTTTCACCAGGCCACACGTTTCCAAGGGCATGGGCCAGCCACTGGACAGGCCCTCTTTGCATAAGCGATGGCAAAATACAGGGTGCCTCCTAAGAACAGTCATTAGGAGACCAGCAGCTGTGAGGGCTGATTAGCCCAGAAGGGAACATTAGATGTGGCAGCCAATCCTCTAGCACAACAGAATTAACATAAAACATAAAACAAGCTGGGTTCCAATTACTCCTTAAAACTGGATTTCACCTCCAACATCCAATAACAGATGCTGGCCATAGGTGCCTAAGGTAAGGATCTTTCTTTTTCTTTTTTCTTTTTTTTTTTTGGAGACAGAGTTTCGCTCTTCTTGCCCAGGCTGGAGTGCAGTGGCGCGATCTCGGTTCACTGCAACCTCCGCCTCCTGGGTTCAAGAGATTGTCCTGCCTCAGCCTCGTGAGTAGCTGGGATTACAGGCATGTACCACCACACCCGGCTATTTATATTTGTAGAGACAAGGTCTTTCTATGCTGCCCAGGCTAGGCTTGAACTCCTGGCCTCAAGTGATCCTTCCTCCTTGGCCTC